AGCCTATAATAAACACAGATAAATTCTCTGGCAAAAGTAAACCACAGCAAAACAGGTTTATATAAATCAAATCACTTATCCAAGTGCTTCTTCTTGATGATTGCAAACAAACAGAGAGTTGACTAGAACAGGAACGGAACGGGATGGAACGAACGAACGAATGTTGACTTCTGCAACTAGGGTGTGGCACCATCAGTCTTTTATCCGCAGGAGGAGATCCTTAACGAGCCACAACTGCTGTTATCCTCTCCTGTGACCATCCTGAAACCACTCACAGGAGGTTTCTGTGTCAGAGTCTGATAGCAGCTCCAAAGGCTCCTACCGAGCCACAACAGAAATGTATCAGGCACAGTAAAGATTACCTACAGAGATTTTTTTTGGGGGGGTCCCCATTTTTTTCTCTCTCCTCACTAGTTTAAACTCTGCAAGAATTTTCTCAGTCAAATCTGAAGATGCTGAATAGGGGCTGAAACAAGGACCATATGTGCATAAAACAGGTGAGCAAAAAGAAACATACAACTAAGTAGTTTGCCTCTACCTGCTCAGCAGATTCTTTCAGTAGCCTGTCATGGCTTCCAGCAACAACAGTCCAATATGCTGGATTATTTGTTCTAAAAAAGGAAGGAAAGGAATATATATATAGATCTATACTAGTCTCCCTTTATCAGCACAAATGCAACATTTATGCAATATAGATAGATCTACAACACAGTCGTATTAGCCTCTAAGCCACAAGCTCTCCTCCCTAATCAGCTGAGCCAAGGAAATGATTAAGTGAAGCAGTATGCTCCCTCCCATATCTGGGTATACCAGGTTCTTTGACATGACACTTATACATACATACATACATACATACATACATACATACATACATACATACATACATCTTTCAATTTAACTTCTTTAACTTTTTCATTTAACTTGTTCCTGCAACAAATCCCAGGAATGTTTGTGTGAAAGCTGGGATGTTCTTCATTATATTCATACCCCCACTCTGCAGAATGAATTAAGTTGCTGTAAGGTTCCAGAAGTTTCCCTGAGTCATTGAAATGCCCAAGAGAGTGAGACTCAAGAGGAAGCTTGCCAAAAATATCAGCTTTTATTTATGGCCATAGCAAAAGCTGGGTGATGAAACTATCTCCAAAACATACAATCAAATGCATGTAAGAAATAGCCACACCCTACAAGAGGGGCTCAGAGTATTATATACATTTTAGGCAGATATAAACAAAGTTTATCCAATCAGAGACAAAGATTCGTTACCAATGTGATCTTTAAAGCATTCTTTTGTTCAAGCTCCTGTCTCTGTCTACCTTATCTAGGGAGTATTCCTATAGCCTAAAGGGGTGGCAGCCCCCCTTTGCCAAGTTGTTTTTCGGCAGAATGCTTTAAAGATTTATGAGCCAGGAAAACTCCTTAGTTTGGTTCTTTTATCTATGGGGCCTGATATTCCCATGTAACAATTTCTTCCATGTTTTCAAGAATGTCCCTAGCTTTGAAGCCAAAAATAGAAGTGAGACGCAGCAGTGAGATAACATTTGCAGTAATGCCATCCAGTATTAAAGTTATATTAATCTAGCTAGGCTAGAAAAACAACTAATTTCTGACAGTATATCGTATCAGAAGCAAACAGCAAATATTGGTTTAATCAGTAACAATTATATAGTAACATAAACAATTCATAATAAAAGCAAATAGCCAATATTGATTCATATTGATTCATCTACTCCTTCATTGCAGAGATGATCCAAAATGTTTCAGGACCCTGTAGAAACTGAAGCGTCATAGTATTCTTCCCTGGTCTAAATTAAATCTTACCTACTTTATACCAAACAACCAGTGTCTGCAAAAGGCTACTTTGCCCGGCTTACCATCTGTACTTACATCTTTACGCAGTGAGCGGCTGTGAGCACCCAAGTCGTGTTGATGATGGCACCGCCACACCTATAATCACCCAGAAAGTGCAAACTCACATGCCAGGGCCAGCAGTGAGGGCAAGCTTCTTCTCCCCCAATGATATGTCTTGTCAGCCTCTGAGGACCAAAAGGGGGGAAACCACATATATCTACAACAAGAGAAGAGGAATCAAAAGGTAGAGGACATCCAGGAGAATTCAATAATGCATTGGCTGGAAAGTTAAGTTTCAAGTTTTTATAATCATCACTAGCTAATAACCCAGCGTTGCCCGGGTATTTATTTATAGGGGGAAAATGTCCGGACCAAACGTAATTTCTAATATTATATTTTCCCCCTTACCAAAGGGAGTCCCCTTGTGGAGCACTGTGAAGCCATTACCATGGCAACTCCACTGTGCTGCACAGCAGAAGCCATTTTACAGCAGTACAGTAGAAGCCATTTTAAGGCACAACAGGCTGTATCTTAACAGAATGCAAACTCTGAGGGGTGTTAGGGGTGTCTTAACCACACAGTATTTTTTTTTCCAGAGAGCACGTCATCTGTGTACCAAGTTTGGTTGAAATTGCTCGAGGTGTTCCAGAGTTATGCTGAAACACACACACACATTTTTATATATATAGAAGATTTGTCCTCCGATAGATCTAGAACATGTGTGTGTATTCATATGATAATGTAAACATACATACATACATACATACATACATACATACATACATACATACATACATACCAGAGGTGGGTTCTTACCAATTCACACCTATTCCGTAGAACCGGTTCGTCAAATCTACCGAACCGGTTAGAAGAGGTTCTACCAGTGGACCCGGAAAGCAGGCCACACCTACAGAAGAGGTTCCAAAAATTTTTGAAACCCACCACTGGTCCTTGGATATGATTATTCTACACTATCATGCTCTATATTTATAAAACTCAGTGCCTCTGTGAAAGGTAAGGCTGACTACTGCGTTTGTGGTGCAATCAGAACATTGCGTGTGTTGAAGCTGTTTTAACGCAAACCAAAGATGCCTTTTAAAAAACAAGTTTACATCATATTCTTATGCATGCCAATGCTGTATGTGAGGTAATTTAAGGTGGTTCTGACAAGTGTCGTCGGCATCTTCATATCCGGTCACATGGGCGGCAAGTCACTCCCATCCAGTCACATGGGCAGCAAGCCACTCCCACAAAGGAGACCACACCCACAGAGTAGGTTCGAACAATTTTTGAAACCCACCACTGATACATACATACATAAATACATATGCCTCTTTGGTATTCATCTTTCTAGAAATAATATTTCTTCTAAAATCCAAAACACATTTTGCGTTTAACAACATACATCAGACTTAAAGAATCCAGGCTTAGCTACTTTTTGTCCATACAAAACTCAGAGTGCGTTAGGATTTCTCTAGCAGTCATTGCCAAATGCAAAAAAATGAAGCATTTCAAATCTAACCATTTCAGCCACTGCACGTTTTATGTTCCATTGGGCGACAATGGAATCCATAAACCTTCAGGCATGAGAGAACAGACAGCTCAAATGGGAATATTTCCAGACAGACACATTTTGGCATTATCTGTCAAAAGATATCGTAAAGTTAATTACTCCTTTTTTCTTAACAGCTTCTTTATATGCACAGAAGACAGCAATAATGATAGGAAGATTCCAGCATAGTTAGAAGAGGGAAGTCTTGCAATTTGGAGTTTTCCCAATTCCCGTATCATTTTATGAATGAATTAAGCAGACTGATGTTACAATAACAGCCCTGTCTGGAAATGCCTAACTCAAATTAAAGGTAAGACTGCTGGGCTTTAGTAATCCTCCTCTTTTCATATTCAGGTTGTTTCCTAGGAAATCCAAGAGCGGAGCTATTATTAATCCTTGAGGAACTTGCTTACCCAGTGGGATATCTTTTGGTTCAAAAGCAGATACAGAGAGCAGCCCTTCATATTCAGCTTTAGATGTTGCTGTAGGAAGAAAATGAAGCTTTAGTTCAGCAAAAAGTTATTTCTCAACCATTCAACACAAAAGAGTCAAGTTTACCCAATTCATTGCTCCACTCATAGAACTTATTTTTTTGCCACCAAAAACGGCACCAGGTCTTATTTTCGGGGATGGATGTCATCCACTGCCTATTCTTCTGATTCTCTCTTCGCTGGGATCTTTCCCCAACATACTTGTGTTTTCCCGAAAATAAGACCCTGTCCCAGTGGTGAATTTCAATTTTTTTTACTACCAGTTCTGTGGGTGTGGCTTGGTGGGTGTGGCTTGATGGGCGTGGTGTGGCTTGGTGGGTGTGGTTTGGTGGACGTGGCAGGGGAATGATACTGCGAAATCTCCATTCCCACCCCATTCATGGGGAAGGATATTGCAAAATCTCCATTCCCACCCACTCTGGGGCCAGCCAGAGGTGGTATTTGCTGATTCTCCTGACTACTCAAAATTTCTGCTACCGGTTCTCCAGAGCCTGTCAGAACCTGCTGGATTTTACCCCTGCCCAATCCTATAATTTTTTTGCCACCAAAACCGGCACCAGGTCTTATTTTCGGGGATGGATGTAATCCACTGCCTCACCTCACTTGCGTACATCACCCCTGGCTTCCTTTTCACTGTCAGACGCTTTCAGGAACTTCTTCGGATAATTGCAGCAGGGCCTCACACACCTCGGCCTATTTCTTCTGCAGCCAGCAAAGCTTTCCTGAAGGCCTCTGTACCCAATAACAGAGCTGTGGATCGATTGGAAAGCCTTGCTGGCTGCAGAAGAAATGGGATGAGGTTCGCGAGGCCTGGCTGCAACTATCCGAAGGTAAATAGTAAGGCAGCTCCATCCCATCATCCCCATCTTAGCTTAATTTTTACCCGTGCATCCTGGAGTGGGCAGTGTCTTAATTAAGGTTTATTTGGGGTTAGTATACCCACATATATTACAAGGCATGGAGAAACAACACAGTCTAGTTTGGATATATACATGTAAACATGGCAAGCAAAACAAATCTTTCAAGTTTACCAGATGGATGGCATCTCTCCCCCTCCCTTCTCAGAATCATGATTTCTGAAATGTTTTGAAATGCAAGTATTACTAGTTTCACTTGCAAAATGCTGAAAAGTCATGCTTGTTATACTGTATTAACAAGAGGGAAAACACTAGTGAAGGTTTTTTTAAGCGTTGCAAAGCTGGGTAGTATAGAATAATACATCAAAAACATTTCAGAAGCTGTAGAACGCAGTTGCCGAGATTTGCAAGTGGGCATTGCACACTGCCCAGAGGCTACCATAGAAGGACAAAAATTATGCATTGTAAAGATCAAAAATTATGCATTGTAAAGATCTATTGGAGGTGAGAAGTACTTCCAATGCAGCAATAGAAATAGCAGTTAGACTTATATACCGCTTCATAGGGCTTTCAGCCCTCTCTAAGCGGTTTACAGAGTCAGCATATTGCCCCCACAGTCNTGTGAAAGAGTTCCAAATTCAGCCTATAAGTTACTGATCCTCTTTGGTCTATAACTGTCACTTCTTTAATATAATAAGGTGCGGCTGATCCATTTTTGGTAGCTTGAGCACACTTTCCTTATTCCAGTTTACCCTTCTGGGCTGCAGTCTTATGTTTTTCTTGTCTGCTCTCTTGATACCTGGCAGGAATCGCGGCCTTCCAAAGATGCAAAACCAGCACAGAGCATCTGAAGTGTGATGCCTCCAGGGTGATTAAAGTAGTAGTTTTGCTCACAGAGGTCATTGGCCACCAGTGGGACATGCATTTGCTGTAGACGGGTAGCGAGGCCTCCAGCTATAAAACAGGAGAATAATATTTCAGAGTAATGCATTTTTTCCCCTTGGATGGGAAAAAGGGGTTGGAAACCTTAAACACTTAAAGAGCCACAAAGGTCCGGAAGGCCCACGTTCAATTCTGGAGCCAACCAGAAGTCTGGTTATCCCACCATAGAGTCTCCCACCATAGAGCGGCGTCCTTTTGCCTTTTACCTTTTACTGACCGGTGACAGGGAGACACAGTAGAGGGCCACATGCGGCTCCAGAGCCGCTGATTGCTGACCCCTGAACTGGGTACTAGGGCCTGATGGAGAACCTATGGAACCATTTGTTAGGGCATGCAAGGCATTCCCCTGTCAGCTCCAGCTGACTTCGACCTTCCTGTGAGCCTGTTTTTCGGCCTCCGGAGCCTTCAGGAGCCTTAAGGAGCCTTCCCTGAAGGCTCCGGAGGGTGAAAAAACGGCCCTATGAGCAAAGCGGAAGTCTGTTCCTGAACTTCCAGTTTTCCCATAAGGCTGTTTTTTTTGCGCTCCAGAGGCTTCAGGAAAGTTCCTGAAGCCTCTAGAGGGCCTGCAGAGGGAGGCAGGGGAGACTGTTTTCACTCTCCCCAGGCTCCTAGAAAGCTTCTGGAGCCTAGGGAAGGCGAAAAAAGTGTGTCAAAAGCGGAGGGGAACACTGGTCATGTGTGCATGCGCGCTGGAGTCACACACATAGCACCCGTACACGACCACCCTGCACTCCCCCAGCTTTTGGCACACAAGCCAAAAAAAAGTCATCACTGCACTGGGGGAAAATCTTCAAAATGCATTACTAAGTTTTGGATCACATCTACGTAAGTTACGCCTAAAAGAAAAAGATTGCAGTTTTCCTCCCCAAAAGCTAGGCGCATCTTATGGTCCGGAGCATCTTATAGTGCCAAAAATATGGTAGTTCTAAGAACAGGTTCATTTGATTCTGAATTCCGAAGTGCCACAGAATAAACATTTCTGCATGGATATAAAAGCTATATAAATTGATTTGGATGCATTCAAGTTGATATAAATAAACTTGCTGAGTTGATTAAAAGATCTGATTTGGCTCAGAGATTTCAACAGATACATTTTCAAATTGAATTCCCAAATCAAATATTCATACCCCTAACATATATTTACCCAGGATGCGTGCAATGTGCTCATACAGTTGTACATTGATCTCAAAATGCAGAATCTCTCTTTTTATTAAATGTCATGGTGTGTCCCACTAAATCAGTGGTTCTTAAAACTGTTTGACCTTATTACTCGTATTCATGGCCTTGAATTATGCCATTATTCCCATTAAAAACAAACAAACTCTTGTTTTACATAAAGTATCTTGGCGGGCGACAGTCCTCAACTCACAAAACAAGCAATTACAAATTGCTCCATCATCACCCCTCAGGATATCTCCAAATTGCTCCCTTGGATAATTACGCCCAGTTTAAGAATCACTGTTCTAAATGGAGAAGAACAATAAAAGGAGATTGCCAAATTTCACATCAGGATTTGGTGGTAAATCACAGTCTCTAAATTGCTTTAATCTGAATTGCTCTGGTTAGATTTTGCAGCAAACTTCCAGACAGAACGTGGCTAGATTACTGTAGAAGCTAGCCATAAACAAGGCCTCAAATATAAGAATGCAGGAGACCCTACACCAGGGGTATCAAGGCCCGTAGGTTGGATGCGGCCCACAAGGTGCTTAGAGCTGGCCCACAGGGTCGGCCTGGAAACAGCAAAGGACCAGCCCGTGGTGCCTCTGCTAGTGAAAACAGAGCTCGGGGAGGGGGCGCACATGGGCTCCATTATCGCTGGCAGAGAGCTATCGAAACAAACTAAAAACAAAACAAAAGGATAAATGTTTCCCCTTTTGCTTTTGAGCCTGCAAGAAGGGGCAGGAAAGGAGAAAGGGAAAGAGGAAAGACAAAGAAAAAGATGGGAAGGCGGGAAGAGAGCAAGGAAGGAAAAATCAGGAAAGAGGAGAAGGAAGAAGAAAGGAGAAGGAAGGAAGGAAGGAAGGAAGGAAGGAAGGAAGGAAGGAAGGAAGGAAGGAAGGAAGGAAGATTATAATGGGACTGAGGGAGTCTGCTTTGGCCACCATAGGTGCCCCTGGCATGAGTTCTATGTCAAACCCACGATGGCCACGCCCATCATGGCCACGCCCTCCCCCACCGACCCTACAAGGTCAAACACAACCCCGATGCAGCCCTCAATGAAATCGAGTTTGATACCTCTGCCCTACACCATTCCGGACAAATGGTTGTCCAATCTCTTCTTTAAAATGCCCAATGATGGTGCATCCACGACTTCTGAGGGCAAACATATCCATTGTTCTCAAGGACAACCAATCTCCTTAGTTCTAGATCAGTTCTCTCCAGTGGTGGGATTCAAAAAATGTTACTACCGGTTTTGTGGGCGTGGCTTGGTGGGCGTGGCATGGCTTGGTGGGCATGCCAGAGGAAGGATACTGTAAAATCTCCATTTCCTCCTGATCAGCTGGGACTCGGGAGACAGAGAATTAGGGGGGCGGGGCAGTCAGAGGTGGTATTTACTGGTTCTCTGAAATACTCAAAATTTCCGCTACCAGTTCTCCAGAACTGGTCAGAACCTGCTGAATATCACCTCTGGCTCTCTCCTATTTTTGCTAATCTTTAACGAAGGTGGAGCCTTGACAGTGTCAATGCCGCGTGAGGGAGAACATGGACTTCACCTTCTTGGAAACTTGCCCAGCCAGTCACGGTACAAAGCTCCAAGGACAGCAACGGCTCCATGGAACTTGGCAAACATACAGGCCTCACCGCTGCACTATAGATCAGAGGCGTTTGCAGCTGGACGAGAGCAATATCAGAATCGTAACTTGCAACCTCAAAGGCCGGGTGCACCGTAATGCTCTCGACTCTTCTCACCTGCATCAAGAGAATGGAATCAATAGAATCAGTATCCAGTCTTTTTCACTCAGTACTGTACATAGTAGCTGTTTAGCGGATGGGAAGAGTGGGGGGGGGGGGAGAAAGTAGGGGAAATACCAGATTAGTTACAAATTTCATTCTTAGCCAACATCTCTTTGTAAAATAATCAGCAACTTTCTCTACGGGGCTCTCCCTAATCAATAAATGCTCCTGCAGCAAGAATTGTCTATCCTTTTTTTTTTAGGCTGTAGCAAACACTGAATTCAGATAAGAGCCGCCAGCACCGCTACCGTAGTGCTGCCTTTGGCTGATAAGCTATGAACCTCCTTATTTTAGCCCGCACTTGATATAAATTGGCCACCTTTCATTCTCGCTGCAGCGTAATTCCTTCTTCCTGCCAGCATCCCCATCTGAACAAATATATCACACAATATGCCCTTTCCTTTTACTAACGCTTTCATTCTGCCATTTTGGACAACACTCTTAGACGTATATGGTTTTTTTTAATTGATTGCTTGGGGTTGTTGACACAAAACATTAAGCCAGAAAGTTTTTTTGCCCACACTAGAAACAGTTTCAACCAGGGTCATCCCCCCCCAATAGTTCAGATGTACCTTGTTTCCCTGAAAATACGACCTACTCAGAAAGTAAGTCCTAGCTTGATTTTTACATGTGTGCCCAATTTAAGCCCTGCCCCCCCAAAATAAGCCCTAATTAAGACCCCACCCACTATAGGGTGTACAGGTAAAAATTAAGCTAGAGTGGGGGTGGTGTGTGCGTAGAGGTGGGTTCCTACCAGTTTGGCCCAGTTCAGCTGAGTAGGTAGTAACTCAACCTGTCACGCCCCGAACCGGTTCTCTCGGCGGTGCCTACAGTGGCACCAGTGGTGGATTCTGGATCCAACTGGTACGGTTAGAACAGGCCCAGCGGCATCCACATGGATGCTCGCACTGCGCATGCACACAGGCGCAGCACATGCATGCATCTTAGCGCCTCCGCGAGCCCCTGTGACACTCCAGCTGTTCAGCAGAGCATCGCGCAGGCGCTATACGAGCAGTGCACATAAGTGCCGAAAACTTAAAAGACCGGTAAGGAGCACAGGGGTGGGTGGGCCCTCCAGAGCACCGTACCGGAACGGTATCCGGTGCTCCGGGCAGGCTCCAGTGTGCCCATACCGGGACGTACCACCTGCAACCCACCACTGAGTGACATCATCTTATTTTTTGCTTCTGTGCATGCGCAGAAGCATTTTTTCAGTACTGTGCATGTGTGCATCAAGCGTGCATCCGCGGGGCGTCCCTGAGCAAACCGGCAGTGGCAGCAGCCAGAACCTACCCCTGGGTTTGTGGTGCTGCCCTACTACTTACCTTCAGATAGTTGCAGTCAGTCAGGCCTCACACACCTCGGTCCATTTCTTTTGCTGCAGCCGGCAAGACTTTCCTGAAGGCCTCTGTAACTTTTAACAGAGCTCTGGATCGACCTGGAGCTGTTATCGGGTACAGAAGCCTTCAGGAAAGGCTTGCTGGCCTTGCCCAATGAAGAAGCCTCTGACAGTGAAAAAGAGGCAACACGTAGTCAGTAAATGTCATCCCCCCGAAAATAAGACCTTTGATGTCCAAAAAAATCTAAGACAGGGTCTTATTTTGGGGGGGGGAACGATAAAAATCATGGTGTATTTTTCTAGGACAAATGAAAGAAATGTGGTTACACCAAATCAGCATTTTTTTAAAAAAACAACTAAGTTCCAAATTGTGCTTTGCTATCAAACCCTCATGAATTAGCAAAACCTCTGCAGATTTGTTTCTCTGGGGATTTTAGAGTGGGAATGATTTGCCTGCGTTTCTTAAACCACCTTCATGTAGCCTTCATAATGATAACTGATCAGCTCAGAATACCATCAGTTTGGGCTTTACAGCAAGAACAATTCATGCCATCCTCACCAAAATCAGAGGTGGGTTCCTACCGATCCGGTCCGGGCTTGCCATGAACCGATTCTCCTAGAATCGCCATTTTGTTTTTCGGTTCTTCGCATGCGCAGAACAACTTTCATTGCAATTTTCTTCCGTTTTTTAAGGCTTTGCGCATGCGCAGACCTTTTTATTTTGCAAATGCAGATGCGTGCATCTTGCACATTTTGCATGCGTGTGTTCAAAGCTAGCGCATGCACACAAAATTCCTGCAAGCACCAAACTGGCAGTAATGCCAGCAGCAACCCACCCCTGATCAAAATGGCCAGAGAGAAAGAAGAAAGAGATGAGAATTCCACTGGTATGCTTAGCAAGATGGAAAGTAAAGTTTTATTTATTTATTGGAGAGGAGAGGATTACAAGAGCTAGGAACGAGGCCTAGGAACCATGAGTGCACTATGTAAACAGCTCAGTGTATTTCCTATTGTCCGCCTGCTTATTCCCTTGTAATCCCTTCTTCTCCAATCTTTTTATTCTGTAAGTGGATGGTGAAGATAGAAATGTGTTCTGACCCCCACCTTGATCATTTAGAAACTACAGCCAAACAGAACTTCAAAGGAAATATTTTTTATCAGTCCCAGCTCTTGCTGGCTGCGAGCCTATAATAAACACAGATAAATTCTCTGGCAAAAGTAAACCACAGCAAAACAGGTTTATATAAATCAAATCACTTATCCAAGTGCTTCTTCTTGATGATTGCAAACAAACAGAGAGTTGACTAGAACAGGAACGGAACGGGATGGAACGAACGAACGAATGTTGACTTCTGCAACTAGGGTGTGGCACCATCAGTCTTTTATCCGCAGGAGGAGATCCTTAACGAGCCACAACTGCTGTTATCCTCTCCTGTGACCATCCTGAAACCACTCACAGGAGGTTTCTGTGTCAGAGTCTGATAGCAGCTCCAAAGGCTCCTACCGAGCCACAACAGAAATGTATCAGGCACAGTAAAGATTACCTACAGAGATTTTTTTTGGGGGGGTCCCCATTTTTTTCTCTCTCCTCACTAGTTTAAACTCTGCAAGAATTTTCTCAGTCAAATCTGAAGATGCTGAATAGGGGCTGAAACAAGGACCATATGTGCATAAAACAGGTGAGCAAAAAGAAACATACAACTAAGTAGTTTGCCTCTACCTGCTCAGCAGATTCTTTCAGTAGCCTGTCATGGCTTCCAGCAACAACAGTCCAATATGCTGGATTATTTGTTCTAAAAAAGGAAGGAAAGGAATATATATATAGATCTATACTAGTCTCCCTTTATCAGCACAAATGCAACATTTATGCAATATAGATAGATCTACAACACAGTCGTATTAGCCTCTAAGCCACAAGCTCTCCTCCCTAATCAGCTGAGCCAAGGAAATGATTAAGTGAAGCAGTATGCTCCCTCCCATATCTGGGTATACCAGGTTCTTTGACATGACACTTATACATACATACATACATACATANCTGAGTCAACCTTGAGCCGGTGAGATTTGAACCGCTGAACTGCAGATAACAGTCAGCTGAAGTGGCCTGCAGTACTGCACCCTAACCACTGCGCCACCTTGGCTCATGTATTCTACCGAATACCCTGCATGGATTTCTCCTGTGACTATGTAAGAAAGAGGAAGAGGAAGCTAACCACCAGATTGCAAGAACACAAGTGAGCAGTTAGGTGAGAAGACCCGAATTCATTGGTACATTCACACTGCAATGAACAAGTACACTCATTCAATTTTGCAGCTGCTAAGATTGTTGGACGAGCAGGCACAAAAACATCCAGGGAAGTGATTGAAGCCTGGGAAAGAGGCCCCTCGTCAGTCAACAGGAATGCTGATTTACCATCAGCCTACCAAGTACTTAGAAGGGGAGAGCTGGGCAGCACAAGCAAATGACAGCCAACGACTTAAAAACCAGCCATCAACACACCCCGATGAACATCTAAAAAGACACATACAACAAGCACTATAAATACCGCACAGAGAACAACACCCAGTTTGCTAGAGAAAAGTTCCTTGAGGATGGGCTCCAGCACGAGATCAAAAGTTCAGAAGACAAAACCTCTGGTCTTGGTGACCCAGATTGGATCCTGCAACATTATCTTGGGACACGTATATTTGTCTTCATTTGTCAGAATAAAATCAGATTCACTGAATAACTTGTAAAACTGACGGGAAGGGAGGTAAAATGCTAAGAGGAAGATAGGAAGGTGGGGGAACTCAATGACTTCGACATTCCCCAAAAATTGTTGCATAAAAGGATCAATTTCTGTTTTTCAAAATCTCACACTAATTGCATAGAAACAATGGAATGGGGATTCAAAGTGTGCAAAGTAATGCACAAAATAAGTCCAACATTCACCGCTATAATGTTGAAGCCTGCAACTGCAATGTTATTTATTATCAAAAACGTATAGCCTTCTTAACATTTCCGGAAAGAATAAATTATATTCCTTGAGATGGAGATCTGAACGTAGCAGATGTTTTGCTGGTCCTTTCTCATGAGTCTAATGTACAACCAATTTCTTTTTGAAAATCTTTTGCTTTACACACAAAAGAGACCACACAATAGAACCTGTCCAAGTCTTCCTTTTCATTTTTCTACTCCAAATGTCTTTTTTTCTGCTATTCTCATTCAGAAAGAAAGCTATGATGAGATCATTTGAACATATTTTTTCATTTGAAACAATTATGCATGAATTTTTTGCAGGAATTGTCAGTGTATAAGAAATTATGAGATGGGATAGCCATTACAACAAGTCACCCAATGGGAACTGTTTGGTGACTAAGAAACAGGTTCTGTTGTGAGCCATGGGAGGCGGCTCGGAGCCTGGGCGTGGCTTAGCTTAACTGGTCTATATATAAGATGTGGTTTGTCCTTGGATTATAGAGTCTGTGCTTCTGTGCTTCTAGATTCTGAATTCTGGTTGTTCTGGTTCTGGCTTCTGCTGCATGGGTATTGTATACATGCACCGTGCTTTATATTATTGTATATAAACAAGTTTCTTCTAAAAATGAATCCTGCTGAATTATTTACTTGTGTGCTGGTTGAATCACTGCAAACTCTAAAAGGAATGTGGAAATCTTGCTAGAAGTAGCAAGATCTTAAAGTCAACATAGAGCCATGGTGGCACAGTGGTTGGAATGCAATATTGCAGGCTAATTCTGCCAACTGCCAACAGTTTAATTCTCATCAGGCTCAAGATTGACTCAGCCTTCCATCCTTTCCAGGTTGATAAAATGAGGACCCAGATTGTTGGGGGAAATATGCTGACTTGGTAAACTGCTTAGGGAGGGATGTAAAGCACTGTGAAGCGGTGTATAAGTCTAAGTGCTAGTGCTACATGTAACAGGTTGTATTTTCCCTTTCAGATGCCTTTGATTGGACAAAGTTCAAGGCCTCCACGTCCCACTCAGAACAAAATTCACAATGTCTTCTGAGAAAAGTATATTTTCTTGCATCCTAAAATTTTCATCATTGTACATCTTGGAATAGTTTGACCTAAGAGGCTTTTAAAAAAAAGGATCCTGATAAACAGATAAAAGATTGAAAACTGACCAGTTAAATGCTTATTGTGCTCCACAGGACAAGTCAATTGAGAACCTCAAAAACACTTGATAATGCCAAATAATTCTCCCTCCCTCCCTCCCTCTATTTCTGAAGTGGAAAGGACACAAATCCTTGGCCCCTTTCATTTATTTTTAATTTTCACATTTTGCAACCGTTTGATCCATATACTTTATTCCATAATTCGTTCTGCCCCCATGCTTTCTCCACCGTAGTTTACCTGGCTAAACTGCAGCCATTGAAAAGAACACAATGCGTGCCCACCCACATTCCAAACAATCTCGGTATGACTGAGGATAATATAGGTAGTCCTCAACTTACAACCGCAAACAAACCCCAAATTTTCCTTGCTAAGTAAAATATTTCGTTAAGCGAATCAAAATGGTCCAATTGCAGATGACTCTGAAAGATAACGAGTATTTAACCACAAAAATACTCCTGCCCCAATAGGCTACTTCAACTTTTTATGTCATTGGCATCAAATCTGCAGCCATACCTTTTACCTTGGCCTGGAGTTGATACTAAGTAGAACCCAGTGCCATCAAGAAATTCCCCAGCCTGATTTGTACAATCAGGTGAGGCCTTAAGGCTAAGTGAATCTCTCTAATTTCTCTCCATTCCCATTGACTCCGGATCAAAAGACATGGAAATTTTCTATTTAGCGGAAGCCGACGTTGAAGAGAACATCCCCAACCAACCTGAAGAGAAAAAAGTGAACTTGGCCTTGAATCCCCGGAAGTTATTTTCTTCATCGCTCTCAAACTGGATCAGCATGATGTTCCCTGAGCTCCACACAGGTGAAGGAATTGAGAAACCACACAGGAGAGCTATAAGGGGGCAAAAAGAACACAACTCAGCGGTGAAGTATTTTTCACCAGGGGGCCATATCTCAAATAAGGGAAATGAACTCCCTGAGTCTAAATCAGGGGTCCCCAACCTTTTGGACCTCAGGGACCACTGAATTCATAATTTTAAATCCCGCGGACCACTAATATGATCTGCCTAATGACTGGGTGGGCATGGCCAGGTGTTGTGGCCCAGCAGGAGCCGTTGGAGCTGCCACCAGACTCCGACAGCGAGGGGCCCTATGAGTCGGCTCTGGAGGATGTGGAGGACCCTGGACAGGGTTCTGACTCCGAGCAGGGCGCAGAGAGAATAGTTGGCCACCAGGTGGCTCCTGAGCCTTGGACCAGTGGA